CACCCATAGAAATCTTTCTCACTTCTTCATAGACCTAGAGACAGGTGGACATGGACAGGCTGGGTTTTCCAAGTACAGTGAAACCCCTTTATCTGCACGTCCTGTCCCCTCAAGGAAGGTTCCTTGATGTTGGTGAGGGGCTCTTGATTTAGGGAATTGGATCTGTGCTCCAGTTCCCCGAATTAAGCCTGAATGCCTTCCACATCCCCCCCCCCCCTGGGCGCTGTATAATCCTCCGGGTTTAGCGCTTCCCCTTGATTATAATAATAATAATGCACGTCCTGTATGTGCAGTTTCAGTTATCTGCTGTTTGCCATGGCCCGAAAATAACTCTTAATTTTGCTTAATAATGGCCTCAAAGTGCAAAAGTAGTGAGGAGCCATGAAGCATTTCCCAACAGTGAAAAAGTTATAATGCTACACTCTACATTTATTGTGCATAATTTATCAATTAAACTTTATAATAGGTATGTATACAAATGAAAAATAACTTATATATAGGGTTCACTACTATCCACAGTTTCAGTATACACGGCAAGACGTTGGAATGTAGCCCCCATGGATATAGGGGTCCTATTGTAATACCGGTAATAATGCCTCCTTATCACAGTCTACAGTGTGTCCTTCATTATCATTTGCCCATTCAAGAACCCCACGATAAAAGTTATTTTTAGGAAAGCAGGGTAATTTAGCTACAGGTTATTCATGGGCGAACACCCATCTCTGAGGTAAAACTAAGAGCCAAGACTGCTGAGTAATTATCCCTTGAATATTAGACCTGAAGCTAGTATCTCCGTGTGTACGTAAACACTAGTTAGGGAAACCTCGACGAATTCAGGGACACTCAAAGTCCACAATGGAAATGTGTCACTTTGACAAACTTTTTTCGGTTATTCTGGAGGGTGATCTACACATATGCTACTATGTATGATAATTTATGTAACTATTTGTGTGTACCTGTACCTGAATGAACTTACTAAGGTGTAGGCTGGGGATACTAACACCTTTAATTATTTGCAGGAATCATTTCTTCTGAGCACTTGGTGTCTTGAAGAGAGGAGTCAGTAGGAACCTAGATTATCCTTGGAGGAATCAGGGAGTTTCTAGCTAGTATAGACCCACAGTACAAGTAAGTCTGTTCTAGTTTGTGCATGGAGACAAATTTCTGGGAGTACTGTATAAGTAACTTCCAAGTGTAGCCTAGGGGTGCTTGTGAGAATTGGACTATAGGAGTTTTCTGTTACCTGTGGTTGCCAGAGTAGGCATCTCACAAGTTGTATTAATGTTGGTAGAATTACCGACAACTTGTTAAGTAAGAGGACACTAAGTTAAGTAAAAGTGCAACTAATGTGACATCCTATTGTGGGAACGTTTCACTCTCCAGGAGCTTTATTAGTTTAATATCTTTGTTATGCACCCCATACCCATCCTGTGGGTGGTAGTCAGAAACGTGACAGAGGTACATAATTGGGTCCAGGGACTTGACCACAAAGTTTTGATAGCTGAACAGGTTACAAAGATAATGAACCATTCACATGTCTACACCTGATAAGAGGTACATAATGGCTTGGTCAACCTGGCTTGACAAAGCTCCTGGACAGCGAAATGTTGCCACAATAAAATGTCACATTAGTTGCACTTGTGTCTTCTTAACATCTTACAAGTTCCCACAGTGATGGAGTGAATGATGATGAAAGTGTTTCTTCTTCATTGGTTCAGCCTGCCTGGGACCTCCCTCAGCTTGTTTGTTTCTGCAGCCTTTCCCCAGCAGGCTGGTGGAACCACAGGACTGGAAAGCTGTGGATTAAAGACAGAAACAGTTCGTAGACGTGTATTGGTGTTGCTTCTTTAAGAGTGTAAACACTACTGTTTAGATGGTTATTGAGTGAATGATGGTGAATGTGTTTTCTTCTTAGCCTTACCAGTAGTACCTGTTGACTATATTGACCCTGACTGTGCTTCCTCATATTTAACATGATCAGTCAGACTATTAATTATATGGTTGGGATTTTTAACCCGGAGGGTTATCCACCCAGAATAATCCAGGGTTGGGAGGGTTAGCCACCCAGGATAACCCAGGGTAAGAAGGGTTAGCTACCCAGGATAATCCAGGGTAGGGAGGGTTACAACCCAGGATAACCCAGGGCAGGGAGTGTTAGCCACCCAGGATAATCCAGGGCAGGGAGTGTTAGCCACCCAGGATAATCCATGGTAGGGAGGGTTATCCACCCAGGATAACCTGGTTTAGGGAGGGTTAGCCACCCAGGATAACCCAGGGCAGGGAGGGGTAGCCACCCAGGATAACCCAGGGTAGGGAGTGTTAGGCACCCAGGATAACCCAGGGTAGAGAGGGGTAGCCACCCAGGATAACCCAGGGTAGGGAGGGGTAGCCACCCAGGATAACCCAGGGTAGGGAGTGTTAGGCACCCAGGATAACCCAGGGTAGGGAGGGGTAGCCACCCAGGATAACCAAGGGTAGGGAGGGGTAGCCACCCAGGATAACCCAGGGTAGGGAGTGTTAGGCACCCAGGATAACCCAGGGTAGGGAGGGGTAGCCACCCAGGGTAGGGTGTGTTAGGCACCCAGGATAACCCAGGGTAGGGAGGGGTAGCCACCCAGGATAACCCAGGGTAGGGAGGGGTAGCCACCCAGGATAACCCAGGGTAGGGAGGGGTAGCCACCCAGGATAACCCAGGGTAGGGAGGGGTAGCCACCCAGGATAACCCAGGGTAGGGAGGGGTAGCCACCCAGGATAACCCAGGGTAGGGAGGGGTAGCCACCCAGGATAACCCAGGGTAGGGAGGGGTAGCCACCCAGGATAACCCAGGGTAGGGAGGGGTAGCCACCCAGGATAACCCAGGGTAGAGAGGGGTAGCCACCCAGGATAACCCAGGGTAGGGAGGGGTAGCCACCCAGGGTAGGGAGGGGTAGCCACCCAGGATAACCCAGGGTAGGGAGGGGTAGCCACCCAGGGTAGGGAGGGGTAGCCACCCAGGATAACCCAGGGTAGGGAGGGGTAGCCACCCAGGATAACCCAAGGTAGGGAGGGGTAGCCACCCCAGGATAACCCAGGGTAGGGAGGGGTAGCCGCCCAGGATAACCCAGGGTAGGGAGGGGTAGCCACCCAGGATAACCCAGGGTAGGGAGGGGTAGCCACCCAGGATAACCCAGGGTAGGGAGGGGTAGCCACCCAGGATAACCCAGGGTAGGGAGGGGTAGCCACCCAGGATAACCCAGGGTAGGGAGGGGTAGCCGCCCAGGATAACCCAGGGTAGGGAGGGGTAGCCACCCAGGATAAACCCAGGGTAGGGAGGGGTAGCCACCCAGGATAACCCAGGGTAGGGAGGGGTAGCCACCCAGGATAACCCAGGGTAGGGAGGGGTAGCCGCCCAGGATAACACAAGAGAGTCAGTGCGTCATGAAGGACGGTCTGTTTTACTTCCATTGTGGTCCTTCAATATTGTCCCCCAGGATGCCACCCACACCAGTCCGCTAACAGCCAGGGACCTACTGGTTTGCTAGGTGAACAGGGACAGCAAGTGTAAAGTGACACCCAGGTACCTGCCTACTGCTAGGTGGCCCGGTGGCCTGGTGGCTAAAGCTCCCGCTTCACACACGGAGGGCCCGGGTTCGATTCCCGGCGGGTGGAAACATATCGACACGTTTCCTTACACCTGTTGTCCTGTTCACCTAGCAGCAAATAGGTACCTGGGTGTTAGTCGACTGGTGTGGGTCGCATCCTGGGGGACAAGATTAAGGACCCCAATGGAAATAAGTTAGACAGTCCTCGATGACGCACTGACTTTCTTGGGTTATCCTGGGTGGCTAACCCTCCGGGGTTAAAAATCCGAACGAAATCTTATCTTATCTTAACAGTGACAAGAAGTGTCTTAAGGAAACACGCAGCAATGTTTCCCCCAGTACCGCGGATCGAACCACGTACCTCAATGTGTGAGCCGAATGCTCTACCAACCCAGCTACACACTCCTCATATATCTACTTACGGTATATATTGAAAAATGTTATTTATTTGTTGTTTCTAGGAGGTTATGGGTGCCCAGTCTTGCACCTACACGAGGTCACCATCTCAAAAGACAATGTTTTTCTGAGCACTGATGTTCTGTACAGTCTGGGACTGAACCTCATTATATTTTTGAAGTTCAAAAGTTCAGACGTTCTGAACATTCCTCCCCCTCCCTCCACCCCCCACACACACACACCTGGAGTTTACCTGGAGAGGGTTTCGGGGGTCAATGCCCCCGCGGCTTGGTCTGAGACCAGGCGTCGTGGTGGATCTGGGTCTGATCAACCAGGCTGTGACTGCTGGCCGCACGCAAACTGACATACGAACCACAACCCGGTTGGTTAGTTACTGAGTTTAGGTTATTGTTCAGTGCCTTCTTGAAGACTGCCAAGGGTCTATTGGTTATCCCCCTTATGTATGCCATACTACACTGAAGAACAGAAGGGATAGGGGGGACACGATAATGATGTATAAAATACTGAGAGGCATTGACAAGGTGGATAGGGACAGGATGTTTCAGAGAAACCATACCACGGGCGGGGATAGAACCCGCGATCAGAGTCTCAAAACTCCAGACCGTCGCGTTAGCCACTAACGCTAACACGACGGTCTGGAGTTTTGAGACTCTCCGATCGCGGGTTCTATCCCCACCCGTGGTATGGTTTGCAATCGTGTCATTACGATTTCGTGAGTCATGTTTCAGAGATGTGACACAGCAACAAGGTGTCACAACTGGAAGTTGAAAAGTGAGATGAGTGACGGGGATGTCAGGAAGTATTTCTTCAGTAACAGAGTTGCCAGGAAGTGGAACACTCTGGAGTGATATTGTGGAGGCAGGATCCATACATAGCTTTAAGAAGAGGTACCATAAAGCTCATGGAGCAGGGAGAGTGGACCTAGTAGCGACCCACGAAGAGGTGGGGCCAGGAGCTGTGAATCCACCCCTGCAACCACAAATAGGTGAGTATACAACATACCTTCTCTTAAAGAAAGGCCATATCCTGAGTGAGTTCTTCATTATCCTCACAGATAACACCAGAACAGTGTGGATAATATAACCTTGTTATCCCAGCTGTAGGAATATTAACACATCAACATCCACTTGTTTCAGTATAGGCAGTATGAATGGACATTTTTTAGTACTTTAGAGTTCTTTAAGAGATAAGTTCATTGTTTCAAGTTCAGTAGGGAATATTAAGTATATATTATTTGGTGTATAACAAGAGTCGTCTTGAGAATAACACTGTATGTATTGTAGGATGTTGAGGAAGACAGGAAGTAATGGTGGTAGCTACACGTCCGGTACTGGTAGTGTTGGTGCTTTGTTAGTCAGGAAACAGGACGAGTGTTTCCTAACACTGGTAGTGGTGATGTCTTGTTCGTCAGGAAACACACGTTGTCACACTGAGTGAGGATGCTACCTCCACGCTACACAGAGTGCAACTAACACAACACTGAGTGAGGATGCTACCTCCACGCTACACAGAGTGCAACTAACACAGCACTGAGTGAGGATGCTACCTCCACGCTACACAGAGTGCAACTGAGTCACATCACGTTCTGCAAGGTACTTATACTGAGAGATGCAACACGGGACGTCCCCCTGGCACAACCCACTAACCACCTTCATCATAACTGGAAATACGTAACACCAGAACACAGTCATAATGCTCTGTTTTGCAGCTTAAAATAGCGTCGACACCTTTCACTACATTCTACCCGCATTACGTCACAGTTACTCACTAGTCAAAACGTTCAGCTCACAACCAGACGGTCACGGGTTGAATCACCGGGTTGGCAAAACGTATGGACACGTTTCTCCTGATGCCCTTTGCTACTCTACGGAGTTAGTGGTAAAGTTGTGTTAGGTGACTGTTATGGTTCGCATCTAGGAAGATTTGGATATGCAAATGAGCCGGAAACTCCAGTTGTATGCGTAAGATACTATTTCTAGTTTTATTGGAAATAATAAACCCTGTTTTACTAGAGTAAAACTAGTAGTCTTACTAGAGTTAGTGAAAAACCAGTCTTAATACCTGGAGTATACCTGAAGGGTGTTCCGGGGGTCAGCGCCCCCGCGGCCCGGGCCATGACCAGGCCTCGTAGTGAATCAGGACCTGATCAACCAGGCTGTTACTGTTGGCCACATGTAAACCAACGCAGTAACCACAGCCAGTCTTACTAGAAGTCTTCTTTATTGATGTAATAACACTGATCATGGTTTTTTCTATCTCAAGGTCCATCACACCAAATGGTAAGACTATCCACCATTCTGCTCTTGAAGCACGGATAGATTGGACCTAGTAGCGACCAGTGAAGAGGCGGGGCCAGGAGCTGTGACTAGACCCCTGCAACCACATATAAATGAATACATATGTCGCCAGGACAGAGAGAACAAGTGCCGGGCAAGGAGCTGTGACTGGACCCCTGCGACTACAAATAGGTGAGTACATACGTCACCAGGACAGAGAGAGAATATCGTCACACCATACCAGTGATATCATAGCTGGTGACAGTCAAGGCCTATGTTCAAGGCTACTGGTATCCGGTAATTGTCCAATTATATATGAAATCATTTCCTAAATAAGTCCACGAATGACATGAAATATTTGGCTGATTCTCTGGCCAGATGTGTACTCATATATTTGTGGTTCCAGGGGTCGAGTCACGGCTCCTGGTTCCGTCTCTTCGGTGGTCGCTACATCTCTCTCTCCCTTTGCGTACTCGCCTAATTGTGGTTGCAAGGGTCGATACTCAGCTCCTGGCCCCGCCTCTTCACTGAGTGCTACTAGGTCCTCTCTCTCTGGTCCATGAGCTTTATCATACCTCATCTTAAAGCTAAGTATGGTTCCTGTGTGTATGTACTTACCTAATTCTAGTTGCAGGGGTCGAGACTCAGCTCCTCTGTGTGTGTGTGTGTGTGTGTGTGTGTGTGTGTGTGTGTGTGTGTGAGTGTGTGTGTGTGCGTGTATGTGTACTCACCTATTTGTGGTTGCAGGGGTCGAGTCCTAGCTCCTGGCCCCACCTCTTCACCACCGGTTGCTACTAGGCCCTCTCTCTCCCCGCTCCATGAGCTTTATCAAACCTTGTCTTAAAACTGTGTATGGTTCCTGCCTCCACTACGTCATTTTCTAGGCTATTCCACTGCCTTACAACTCTATGACTGAAGAAATACTTCCTACTATCTCTCTGACTCATTTGTGTCTTCAACTTCCAATTGTGGCCTCTTGTTTCTGTGTCCCCTCCCTGGAACATCCTGTCTTTGTCCACCTTGTCTATTCCACGCAGTATTTTATATGTCGTTATCATGTCTCCCCTGACCCTCCTGTCCTCCAGTGTCGTCAGGCCGATTTCCCTTAATCTTTCTTCATAGGACATTCCCCTTAGCTCTGGAACTAACCTTGTGAGTGTGTGTGTGTGTGTGTGTGTGTGTGTGTGTGTGTGTGTGTGTGTGTGTGTGTGTGTGTGTGTACTCACCTAATTATACTCCCCTAATTGTGGTTGCAGGGGTCGAGACTCACCTCCTGGCCCCGCCTCTTCACTGATCGCTACTAAGTCCTCTCTCTCTCCTTCCAGAGCTTTGTCATACCTCGTCTTAAAGCTATGTATGGTTCCTGCCTCCACTGCATCACTTGTTAGGCTATTCCACTTCCTGACGTCTCTATGACTGAAGAAATACTTCCTAACATCTCTCTGACTCGTCTGAGTCTTTAGCTTACAATTGTGACACCTTGTTTCTGTGTCCCCTCTTTGGAACAACCTGTCTCTGTCTACCTTATCTATTCCATGCAGTATTTTGTATGTCGTTATCATGTCTCCCCTGACCCGCCTGTCCTCCAATGTCGTCAGTCCGATTTCCCTCAACCTTTCTTCGTAGGACATACCCCAGAGCTCCGGAACTAGCCTTGTTGCAAACTTTTGCACTTTCTCTAATTTCTTGACGTGTTTGACCAGGTGTGGGTTCCAAACTGGTGCTGCATACTCCAGTATGGGCCTGATGTACACAGTGTACAATGTCTTGAACGATTCCTTACTAAAGTATCGGAACGCTATTCTCAGGTTTGCCAGGCGCCCATATACTGCAGCAGTTATCTGGTTGATGTGTGCCTCCGGAGACATGCTCGGTGTTATGGTCACTCCAAGATCTTTCTCCTTGAGCGAGGTTTGCAGTCCTTGACCACCTAGTCTATACTCTGTCTGCGGTCTTCTTTGCCCTTCTCCGATCTTCATGACTGCATTTGGCAGGGTTGAATTCAAGAGGCCAGTTACTGTGTGTGTGTGTGTGTGTGTGTGTGTGTACTCGCCTATTTGTACTCACCTATTTGTGGTTGCAGGGGTCGAGTCCTAGCTCCTGGCCCCGCCTCTTCACCGGTTGCTACTAGACCCTCTCTCTCCCCGCTCCATGAGCTTTATCAAACCTCGTCTTAAAACTGTGTGTGGTTCCTGCCTCCACTACGTCATTTTCTAGGCTATTCCACTGCCTTACAACTCTATGACTGAAGAAATACTTCCTACTATCTCTCTGACTCATTTGTGTGTGTGTGTACTCATCTTTTTGTGGTTGCAGGGGTCGAATCATATCTCATGGACCCCGCCTCTTCACTGGTCGCTACTAGGTCCTCTCTATCATTGCTCCATGAACTTTATCAAACCTCGTCTTAAAACTATGTATGGATCCTGCCTCCACTATGTCACTTTCCAGACTATTCCACTTCCTGACAACTATATGTTACATATATTTTTTTTATTTATGTTAATGTAAAAATTAATAATTTTGTACAAAAAATGCCTTAGAAAACTTACCTAACCTTATTATAACAAGCGCAGTTTAAATTCCTCACACCCCTTTGGCTCGTCTACATAAGTCTTCAACTTGCATTTGTGATCCCTTGTCTCTGTGCCCCATATCTGGGACATCCTGTCTTTGTATACCTTGCCAATTCCTCGCAGTATTTTATATGTCGTTATCATGTCTTCCCTAACCCTCCTGTCCTCCAGTGTCGTCAGGCCGATTCCCCTTGACCTTTCCTTGTAGGACTTTACCCTTAGCTCGGAGACTAGTCATGCTGCAAACTTTTGCTCTTTCTATAATTTCTTGACGGGTTTGACCAGGTGTGGGTTCCATTTTGGTGCTGCATACTCCAATATGGGCCTGATATACACGGTGTACAGAGTCTTGAACGATTCTTTACTGAGGTGTCGGAACACTGTTCTTAGGTTTGCCAGGCGCCCATATGCTGCAACAGTTATCAGGAGATGTGCTTGGTATTATACTCACCCCAAGATCCTTTTCCTTGAGTGAGGTTTGCAGTCTTTGGTCCCCTAACTTTTACTCTGCGGTCTTCTTTGCCCTTCTCCGATCTTCACGACTTTACATTTGATGGGGTTAAACTCCAGGAGCCAGTTGCTGGACCAGGCTATCAGGCTGTCCACGTCCCTTTGTAGTCATGCCTGATCCTCATCCGATTTAATTCTACTTATTAGCATCACATCATCTGCAAACAGGGACACTTCTGAATTTATCCCTTCTGTTATGTCACTCACATTTACTAAAAACAGCACTGGTCCTAGGACTGACCCCTGTGGAACCCCACTCGTCACAGGCGCCCACTCTGACACTTCGTCTCGTACCATGACTCGTTGTTGCCTCCCTGTTGGGTATTCTCTGATCCAATGCAGTGCCTTTCCTGTTATGCGTGATTGATCATCTAGCTTTAGCATTTATCTCTTGTGAGGAATTGTGTCGAAGGCCTTCTTGCAGTCCAAGAAAATACTATCTACCCACCCCTCTCTCTCGTGTCCTACTTACGTTACCTTGTCATAAACTCCAGTAGGTTTGTTACACGGGATTTCCCTTCCCTGAAACCGTGCTGGCTGTCATTTATAAGCTTGTTCCTTTCTAGGTGCTCCACCACTCTCCTGATAATCTTTGCCATGGCTTTGCATACTGTACACGTCAGTGATACTGGTCTATGGTTTAGTGCCTCTTGTCTGTCTCCTTTCTTAGAAATTGGGACTACATTTGCTGTCTTCCATACCTCAGGTAATTGCCCAGTTTCAATGGATGTGTTGACTATTGTTGTTAGTGGCACACACACAGCATCTGTGTATGTGTGTGTGTGTGTGTGTGTGTGTGTGTGTGTGTGTGTGTGTGTGTGTGTGTGTATGTGTGTGTGTGTGTGTGTGTGTGTGTGTGTGTGTGTGTATGTGTGTGTGTGCGTGTGTGTGTGCGTGTGTTCGTCTATTTGAGGTTGCGGGGGTCGACTCACAGCTCCCGTGTCATTGTAATAAAGAATACAATGAGAATAAGTCACACTGATTTTATTGTATTGGTCTTTTTGCATTAACTTTATTAAGGTGGCTAATTGAGTTTCAAATCTATCTACTACACGAGGGTTATTAAGGCTACATGTCATCTGTACATCTGACTGATGTAAACACACACACACACACACACACACACACACATGTGCACGAGGTCACAACTGGTAGCTAAAAACCATAGATCAGTCACAAAAATGTTAGG